GGATAAATCTCACTATGATTGTTAAGAGCAGACAAGGTGCTTTGAGGTGCAGTAGTGTTTTTTCGACTTGGTTTGGAGGCGAATGATTGGTGGTTATAACTTTTAGTAACATGAGACTGGTGAAGCAGAACTGGGAAGGTGATTCTCTGATACATCACCAACATATTATACAAGTTCAATTCCTAATTTTGAAGCTGGGGAGCAAAGGTAGAGATGCATTATTTGCTTATTCATTCATTCTTTACACCGTATCAATGTAATCCGCCATAGTCAATGTATATGTAATATATGTATTAATGTATATAATCATACAAATTTTTGAGGTATATATTCCATTTTAATTGTGTATCTTTCTGAGCCTGTTGATAAAATCTCTAACCTAAAGGCAAGAATCCTTCATAATATGTACGTTAAACATTGAGCCATCAAAAGATGTCAAATCTTCTTCAAATATTACCCCTAATAACAATTTTGCTTGGGAATATAGAATGTAGGAATATATGTGGATTATGTATAGATTTTGGTGGGGTGGAGTGGGATGGTTTTAATAATGCAAACTGCCTTTAAATGGGGCTGAAATGCCGTTTTGGTTTAAATTCGGAAAAGCAAATTCTAGTGGCCTTAACTACTAAAACTTACCGAGTACTTTTACCTATTTCTTTAAACAAGAAAACAATAAGAGGAGACAAAATAATTTTTTTTCCTGATAGGTGAAATGTACATTGAAGTACCAGCAAGAAGTGAATGCTGGGAAAAGTTATAGTCAAAAGAATGAACCATTACAAGTCATGTAATGTATCTAAGGAAATCAACAATGACCAACTTATTATTTACATCATTTAGGCTATGTTGTACCATAGCAAAAATATACAATTGCACCTAAGCTTACGTATAGACCCTTCTATGTTTTCAAAAAAAGTCCAAACGGACAACCAAATGGCAGCTGGAATGGGGCACCAGTGAGAGTAGACAGAATAATACACGATAGAGGATAAAGTTCTTTTGACACATAAATATAATGTTCCACGCCATTGATAAAGTTAACATATTTAATGTGCTGTACACATTTGGGCATTTCTTTCACAATATGTTTTTTATATGGAATTGTCAAATGATTGCAAATAAAAATTTAAGTCATAAGTAATCGTTATGGTTCAGATAGGCTCCCAGTTGTACATTATTAACAAAATGATAATAAAGAAATGAGTTGGGAGCGTATTGCCTGACCGACTCCTGAGTTCCTGTTTGAACTTCCTGAAAGAAAAATGAAGATATTCATCCATTTAGTAATGTACTTACATATTTAATTCCAAGATACATTTTTTTCTCCAAAGGTTAACTGCTCCAGATTACTAATGAACATTTTACTTCAAGAGATTACTCTCATTTATTTATTTATTTTTTCTCAGAAAAAGTAAGAAGATATATACAGCTCAAATTGAATTGTATTGTGTATGACATTTCCCAATAATTTTTTTCATAGCATTATTTTACACTACTACTGGAAGTGCATCCTCCACTCCCACCCCACATTACACAGCTTCAAACTCGATTAGAGGGACGAGAAATAGTCCAAGCCGTCAAGATCCGGTGTGAACAATATTTTGCTTAAGGCGGCAAATGGACAGATTGGGTTGAATTTGGACGGGTCAAAAGGGTTTGGGGGGGAGGGACAGAAAAACGAAAAAACAGAAAATTAAAAGTACAAAAACCAAAAGTAAAATTGAGGCAACTAAGTAAATCTATATATATATATA